AACATCTCAGTCCTACTGATTTTCCTGACTCTGTGGCTCAGCTTTTGGAAATTTTGAACAGGAATAGAGCCTTTGTTGCTCTACCAGGAGAAAAGTTAGGTCTCACTCCTCTTATTACACATAAAATTCCCCTTGAACAAGGAACTATGCCTATTTATGTACCAGCTTACCGTCTTCCCCATTCTCAGGGGAAGCCGAAGAAGCCGATAAACTCATAGTAGAAATGTTATAGAGTGATGTAATTGAATCGAGTAATTCGCCATGGAACACTCCATTGACTCTTGTACGAAGCGAGATGGGACTTGGAGACCTGTAATCGATTATCGGAAACTTAACAGAGTAACGATACCTGATCGTTTCCCACTTCCAGTTCTAAATGATTTGTTGCAAAGTATTGGTCGAAATAAAGTATTCTCAATGTTAGATTTGTTGCAGGGATTCTGGCAAATCCCCCTTGATGAGGAAAGTAAACAATTGACAGCTTTTAGTAGTTCCAATGGTCATTTTCATTTCAAAAGAATGCCATTTGGTTTGCGGAGTAGTCCAATAACCTTTTCACGGCTCATGACAAATCTCTTTCGTAGATTGATAGGAAGTACTCTTCTAGTTTACCTTGATGATCTCATAATCATGTCGCAAGATGTTCAGACTCATTTCCAAAACCTTGAAAAAGTACTTGCAAAGCTTGCTGAAGCTAATTTAAAAATAAAACTTGCAAAATGTTCGTTTTTAAAGGAGAAGATTAATTTCCTAGGTCATACAGTTACACCTTCAGGTATTACATTGAATGAATAAAAAATTATTGCTGCCTGTGATTTTCCAACACCTCGTACCACAGAAGCCGTAAGACAGTTCACAGATCTTGTAGGATTTTATCGTTCATTTATTGCTGGATTCTCTATTATAGCCGCTCCACTTTACAAGTTACAAAGAAAAGATGAACCCTTTGTTTGGGGAGAGGCCCAGGATCAGTCATTCAAAAAACTCAAGGCAGCCTTGATTTCGTCACCTGTCCTTAGGTACCCAGATTGTTCTAAACCTTTTACGTTGATTACAGATGCTTGTGACATAGGTTTAGGTGCTGCATTGCTTCAAACAGAAGGCCACAAAGATCACGCAATAGCTTATGCTTGCCGTATATTATCTAAAGAAGAGAAAAATTATAGCGCAACAGAACGAGATTCCTTGGCAGTTGTCTGGGCACTTAAACATTTCAGGGATACAATTTATAATTACCCAGTTCATGTGCTTACAGATCACCAACCATTAATTCTCTTGTTCAAAAATAAGAATCCAGTTGGAAAGTTTGCTAGATATTTGCTCACAATTCAAGAATTCAATCCCACATTTGGATATATTCCAGGAAAGCAAAATGTTGTATCTGATGCATTTTCTCGACACTTAGCTGCAATTCAGTTAAATTACCCAGCATTAGATGCTACAGTATGCACTTATCAATAAGCCAAATATTGATTATAAGCATGTGCGAGAATGGGTTGCTTTGGACACCCAACCTGCTTTTCCACACGACAGCACATATATGACTTACTGCTTATAGTCACTATTTCACTTATAAATAAGTTGATATGTGACATATTCCAAGCCTTATTTTTTTTCAAGGCACTAACTTTTTCTCTCAGTTTTATTAAACAATAGAAATTGAAATTGAAATAAGTTTATTAAGGTAAAATACACACAAAGAGATGAGATATTTTATACAAAATTTGGCAATATCCTGAGTTACTTTACAATTTATTTAAATATTTTAGTTTTGTCTTATTATTTTTATAAAAATGTAATATCAATATAGGTATAGGTTCAGTACTAATTGTAATATCTTAACGTACTAAGAAGGTTAGGTTAGGTTGTGGTTTTCTATTCACCTTTTCAAGGTAAACACAAATATTCACAATAAATTAGTATGTCATATGCACTGATTTATAAGCAAGATATTGACTATTAGCAAGTGCGAGAATGGGTTGGAGCACCATACTACCTTATTTGTACAGTTATGGTGAATAAAACATGTAGATACTTTATATATATATATATATATATATATATATATATATATATATATATATATATATATATATATATATATATATATATATAGGCTTATTAGGCAAATCGGGCCTTGCATAGTAGGCTGAGAAGTGCGTTCTGGCTACTAGGTACGACATTATATATATATATATATATATATATATATATATATATATATATATATATATATATATATATATATATATATATATATAATATATGTATGTATATATATGTATGTTGTACCTAGTAGCCAGAACGCACTTCTCAGCCTATTATGCAAGGCCCGATTTGCCTAATAAGCCAAGTTTTAATGAATTAATTGTTTTTCGACTACCTGACCTACCTAACCTAACCTAACCTAACTTTTTCGGCTACCTAACCTAACCTAACCTAGGTAGGGTTCGTTAGGTTCGGTCATATATCTACGTCAACTTTAACTCCAATAAAAAAAAATTGACCTCATACATAATGAAATGGGTAGCTTTATCATTTCAAAAGCAAAAAATTAGAGAAAATATATTAATTCCTGAAAACTTGGCTTATTAGGCAAATCGGGCCTCGCATAGTAGGCTGAGAAGTGCGTTCTGGCTATTAGGTACGACATGTGTATATATATATATATATATATATGTATATGTATATGTATATGTATATATATATATATGTATGCATATATATGTATATGTATATGTATATATATATATATATATATATATATATGTATGTATATATATGTATGTATATATATATATGTATATGTCCTACCTAGTAGCCAGAACGCACTTCTCAGCCTACTATGCAAGGCCCGATTTGCCTATTAAGCCAAGTTTTCATGAATTAATTGTTTTTCGACTACCTAACTTACCTAACCTAACCTAACCTAACTTTTTTGGCTACCTAACTTAACCTAACCTATAAAGATAGGTTAGGTTAGGTTAGGTAGGGTTGGTTAGGTTCGTCAATATATCTACGTTAATTTTAACTCCAATAAAATAAAATTGACCTCATATGTAACGAAATGGGTAGCTTTATCATTTCATAAGTAAAAAATTAGAGAAAATATATTAATTCAGGAAAACTTGGCTTATTAGGCAAATCAGGCCTTGCATAGTAGGCGCAGAAGTGCGTTCTGGCTACTAGGTACGACATATATATATATATATATATATATATATATATATATATATATATATATATATATATATATATATATATATATATATATATATATATATATCATATTTTTATATATAAGATCAATTTTCCAAAATTCATTATTATTTCTTGTCTGACGCGACACTTGAGCGCGTTTCGTAAAACTTATTACATTTTCAAAGACTTTAGTTTACAAACACACAACTGAAACTGAATAGAGCTTACACATCTTCGAGTTTGTATCTACATTTAGGTGAGGTGGATGAGGTGAAAACAAACTTTCAACAATGGGTATTGAATGGGTATTAAATTCAAACACAAGACAGAACACGAAACAATGGGTATTAAATTCAAACACAAGACAGAACACGAAAGAATGGGTATTGAATGGAAGTAATTGTAGAAAGCCTATTGGTCCATATTTCTTGATGCTTCTATATTGAAGCGGAGTCTTGAAGTGGGTAGAATATAGTTGTGCATTAATTGGCTGTTGATTGCTGGTGTTGACTTCTTGATGTGTAGTGCCTCGCAGTCAAGCCGCCTGCTATCGCTGTATCTATCGATGATTTCTGTGTTGTTTGCTAAGATTTCTCTGATGATGGTTTGTTTGTGGGAAGAGATTATATGTTCCTTAATGGAGCCCTGTTGCTTATGCATCGTTAAACGCCTGGAAAGAGATGTTGTTGTCTTGCCTATGTACTGGGTTTTTTGAGGCTTACAGTCCCAAAGAGGGCATTTGAAGGCATAGACGACGTTGGTCTCTTTTAAAGCGTTCTGCTTTGTGTCTGGAGAGTTTCTCATGAGTAGGCTGGCCGTTTTTCTGGTTTTATAGTAAATCGTCAGTTGTATCTTCTGAATTTTGTCTGTAGGGATAACGTTTCTACTGACAATATCTTTCAGGACCCTTTCCTCCGTTTTATGGGCTGTGGAAAAGAAGTTCCTGTAAAATAGTCTAATAGGGGGTATAGGTGTTGTGTTAGTTGTCTCTTCAGAGGTTGCATGGCGTTTCACTTTCCTTCTTATGATGTCTTCGACGAAACCATTGGAAAAGCCGTTGTTGACTAGGACCTGCCTTACCCTACAGAGTTCTTCGTCGACTTTCTTCCATTCTGAGCTGTGGCTGAGGGCACGGTCGACATAAGCATTATCAACACTCCTCTTGTACCTGTCCGGGCAGTCACTGTTGGCATTCAGGCACATTCCTATGTTTGTTTCCTTAGTGTAGACTGCAGTATGGAAAACTCCGCTCCTTTCCATGACTGTTACATCTAGAAAGGGCAGCTTCCCATCCTTCTCCATCTCGTAAGTGAAACGCAACACAGAATTCTGCTCAAATGCCTCCTTCAGCTCCTGCAGATGTCTGACATCAGGTACCTGTGTAAAAATGTCGTCAACATACCTGCAGTATATGGCCGGTTTCAAGTTCATGTCGACTAAGACTTTTTGCTCGATGGTACCCATGTAGAAGTTTGCAAACAGGACACCTAGGGGAGAACCCATGGCGACCCCATCTACTTGCTTATACATGTGTCCATCTGGGCTCAAGAAGGGTGCCTCTTTAGTACAAGCTTGGAGTAGTTTCCTTAAACTGTTTTCTGGTATGTCAAGAGGAGTACAGGCCGGATCACGGTACACTCTGTCGGCTATCATCCCGATTGTTTCATCCACAGGTACGTTGGTAAACAGAGATTCTACGTCCAACGAGGCTCTTATCTCTGTGGCCCGTGTTCCCCGCAGCAAGTCAACTGCGGGGAACACGGGGAACTCCAGTACTGCGGGGAACTCCAGTACTGAAGAATAGCAGGGACCAAACTGCTCTAGTAGTGAGGAATAGCAGGAACCAAACTGCTCCAGTAGTGAAGAACAGCAGGGACCAAACTGCTCCAGTAGTGAAGAATAGCTGGGACCAAACTGCTCCAGTAGTGAAGAACAGCAGGGACCAAACTGCTCCAGTAGTGAGGAATAGCTGGGACCAAACTGCTCCAGTAGTGAAGAATAGCTGGGACCAAACTGCTCCAGTAGTGAAGAATAGCTGGGACCAAACTGCTCCAGTAGTGAAGAACAGCAGGGACCTAACTGCTCCAGTAGTGAGGAATAGCTGGGACCAAACTGCTCCAGTAGTGAGGAATAGCTGGGACCAAACTGCTCCAGTAGTGAAGAATAGCTGGGACCAAACTGCTCCAGTAGTGAAGAACAGCAGGGACCTAACTGCTCCAGTAGTGAGGAATAGCTGGGACCAAACTGCTCCAGTAGTGAAGAACAGCAGGGACCAAACTGCTCCAGTAGTGAGGAATAGCTGGGACCAAACTGCTCCAGTAGTGAAGAATAGCTGGGACCAAACTGCTCTAGTAGTGAGGAATAGCAGGAACCAAACTGCTCCAGTAGTGAAGAACAGCAGGGACCAAACTGCTCCAGTAGTGAGGAATAGCTGGGACCAAACTGCTCCAGTAGTGAAGAATAGCTGGGACCAAACTTCTCCAGTAGTGAAGAATAGCTGGGACCAAACTGCTCCAGTAGTGAAGAATAGCTGGGACCAAACTTCTCCAGTAGTGAAGAATAGCAGGGACGAAACTGCTCCAGTAGTGAGGAATAGCTGGGACCAAACTGCTCCAGTAGTGAAGAATAGCTGGGACCAAACTTCTCCAGTAGTGAGGAATAGCTGGGACCAAACTGCTCCAGTAGTGAAGAATAGCTGGGACCAAACTGCTCTAGTAGTGAGGAATAGCAGGAACCAAACTGCTCCAGTAGTGAAGAACAGCAGGGACCAAACTGCTCCAGTAGTGAGGAATAGCTGGGACCAAACTGCTCCAGTAGTGAAGAATAGCAGGGACCAAACTGCTCCAGTAGTGAAGAATAGCAGGGACCAAACTGCTCCAGTAGTGAGGAATAGCTGGGACCAAACTGCTCCAGTAGTGAGGAATAGCTGGGACCAAACTGCTCCCGTAGCGAAGAATAGCAGGGACCAAACTGCTCCAGTAGTGAAGAATAGCTGGGACCAAACTGCTCTAGTAGTGAGGAATAGCAGGAACCAAACTGCTCCAGTATTGAGGAATAGCTGGGACCAAACTGCTCCAGTAGTGAAGAATAGCTGGGACCAAACTTCTCCAGTAGTGAAGAATAGCTGGGACCAAACTGCTCCAGTAGTGAAGAATAGCTGGGACCAAACTTCTCCAGTAGTGAAGAATAGCAGGGACCAAACTGCTCCAGTAGTGAAGAATAGCTGGGACCAAACTTCTCCAGTAGTGAAGAATAGCAGGGACCAAACTGCTCCAGTAGTGAAGAATAGCTGGGACCAAACTGATCCAGTAGTGAAGAATAGCTGGGACCAAACTGATCCAGTAGTGAAGAATAGCTGGGACCAAACTGATCCAGAAGCGTACAATGGCATGACTCAAACTGCCCCAAAAGTGTAAAATCGCTTAGACCAAACTTATTCATTAGTGTAAGATGGCATAGCCCAAATTGATTCAGCATTATAGGATGGTGAGCATGGATTAAACTGCTCCAGGTATGTATAAAGACATTGACCAAACAGAGTAGGATGGTACGTTCCGGACTGATCCATCAGTGATTTAGGGTATGAAGAAAACTGCTCTAGTATTGTAGAATGGCATGGACTAATCTACTCCAGTAATTTAGAATGGCATAGACTAAACTGCTCCAGTAGTGTAGAATTGCGTGGACAAAACTGTTCCAGAAGTGTAGGACTGCATAACCCAAACTGCTCAAAAAGTGTAGAATGGTAATAACCAAACTGTTCCGGTATTGTAGGATGGCATGGACCAAACTGCTCCAGTAGTGTCAAATTCCTTGGACCAAACTGCACCTGTTGTGTAGAACGACATAGTCCAAACTGCTCTAGTAGTGTAGAATGACATTTATGAAACAGCTCAGGCAGTTTTAAATGCCATGAAACAAACTACTCCAGTAGTTAATATTGCCATGGAACAAACTACACCAGGATTGTACGATGGCTTGGGACAAACATCTCGAGTAATGAAGAATGGAACATACCAACTTGCTAAATTAGTGTACAAAGGCGTAGAACAAACTGCTCCAGGAATGTAGAATGGCATGGAAAAAACTGTTCCAGTAGTGTAGGAGGGTATGGACCAAACTGCTCCAGTAGTGAAGGATGGCATGGACAACATTGCTCCAGTAACGGACCAAGCTGGAACGGTAGTGGTGGAGGTGCTGGACCAAACTGGAGCAGTATTGTGGGAGGGGACCAATCAATCTGACCAGTAGTGTGGGAGGGATGGACCAAGCTGGTCTGGAAGTCTGGAAGAGAGTTTGGAAAAAGCTGCACTAGTAATGTGGGATGTGACGGACCAAGCTGCACCAGTAGTGTGGGATGTGACGGACCAATCTGCACCATTAGTGAGTTATGTGACGGAACAAGCGGCACCAGTAGTTGGGGATGTGACGGACCAAGCTGCCCCAGTAATGTGGGATGTGACGGACAAAGCTGGACCAGTAGCGTGGGATGTGACGGACAAAGCTGGACCAGTAGTGTAGGATGTGACGGACCAAGCTGGACCAGTAGTGTGGGATGTGACGGACAAAGCTAGACCAGTAGTGTGGGATGTGACGGACCCTGCTGGACCAGTAGTGTGGGATGTGACCGACCAAGCTGGACTAGTAGGGTGGGATGTGACGGACCAAGCTGCCCCAGTAGTGTGGGATGTGACGGACTAAGCTGGACCAGCAGTGTGGGATGTGACGGACAAAGCTGGACCAGCAGTGTGGGATGTGACGGACAAAGCTAGACCAGTAGTGTGGGATGTGGCGGACCATGCTGCTCCAGCAGTGTGGGATGTGATGGACCAAGGTGAACCCGTTGTGTGGGTTGTAACGGACCAAGCTGCACCTGCCGTGTGGGATGTAACTGACCATGCTGCATAAATAGTTTGGGATATGACGGACCAAGCTGCACCACCAGTGTGGGATGTGACGAACCAAGCTGCACCAGTAGTGTGAGAGGGAACGGACCAAGCTGCACCATTAGTGTGGGATGGGGCGAACCAAGCTGCACCAGTAGTGTGGGATGTGACATAAGAAGCTGGACCAGTAGTGTGGGATGTGATGGACCAAGCTGCACCATTAGTGTGGGATGTGACATAAGAAGCTGGACCAGTAGTGCGGGATGTGATGGACCAAGCTGCACAAGTAGTGTGGGATGCGACAGACTAAGGAGGCATAAGTTTCCAAACTTGCCCAAAAATGCAATAAAAGAAAACTCGTTCGATTTCAATCAAACTTTTTTGACAAGTTGTATATGAAAAGGGTTTCATCTGGTCCAAGTCTCAGCATCATAGCATAAATAGGAAGGAAGAAAAAAATATTGAATTATGTGTCAAAAATTTTCCAAAATGGTCAAAAACTATTATCAAACAAAAATGTCAACTGAAATCATGTCTATGACTCTCAGCTATCACAATAGCATATATTAAAAACAAATTATAATTAGTTTTATTAAATAAAATTTAAGTTAAAAAAAGGCATTTTTTTTTTTTTTTTTAAATTTTATCTCTCTCTTCTGTTTATAGAGCGATTTGCATGAAACTTATACACCTGACTGCACGTATGTCTATCTGTAAGGGTGCCAATTTTGGATGAAATTTGTTGATGTCAATCTCAGCCACAGATGGCAACACCTTAGACTTTATTTTTTACTTACTTGAACATTTATGTTTCTTGAACATATATATCTCTTTTCATTTTTTATTGAATTTCCATGAAACTTACACCTTATATGTAAAGTTTATGTCTCTAAAATCGTAAATGAGCGTTTTACCTGAGTTCATTTATTGATTTTATAATAGCAATAAACATGATATATTTGCATAAATATTGGGGGGGAACTTAGACTATTTGTATTAGGAAAACTAAAGACGTTTTGGAAAATCCCCTATTTATGATCCTTTATTATATGTTAATGTGTCAGAAAAGTGTCATAAAATGATTATATCTGAAAGGTGTGTTTGTTCATTTACACATGAAAATGTGTAAAATTCGTTGAAAAAAATACAAAAATAAAAAATCTCCCTTACTATTTAGGCTACAGTACTGAAACTCAAAGCAATTGCGCCCTTTTCATATACAACTAGTCAAAAAATAATGGTTGACATTGAACAACAATTTTACTTTTCCTTGTATGGCCCCTAAGCTCCACCTGAAGTGTGGGATGTGATGGAATAAACTGCACCAGTTGTGTGGGATGTAACCGTCCAGGGTGCACCAGTAGTGTGGGATGTAACCGACCAAGCTGGACCAGTAGTGTGCGATGTGACTGACATAGCAGGACCCATAGTGTCCCAGCAAACATTTTGTCGTTTGCAAAACGTGCTAAAAACGACATTTCAATGTATTTAGCACGTTTGTAATTACCTTTAAACAACGGATTTTGAGAATTTGTAAAAACGACCTTAGAACGTGAATTGGAAACATTTAAAAAACTTTCCATAATCTTTTAATTACCTACATTAAACCGTTTCGAGCTAACATTTTAATACTTTAATTAGCATTAATTATTGGAATATACATTAGGTATAATCTTTTTTTTTTAATTTAGATCTAAAATAAAAAGGGATATCCTATATATATATATATATATATATATATATATATATATATATATATATATATATATATATATATATATATATATATATATATATATATATTAGTATATTTTGGTAGCATTCTTTCCTGTAGACATATATTATTAAATATGACCAAAAAAGTAAGATTAATAATTCTAACACGAATTTTCTCGATCTTTCTTACGTTTCTTTTCACTGTTGATGGTAATTCAAAAATCAATTCTCCAAAATTCATTCATATTTCTAGTCTGACGTGACACTTGAGCGCGTTTCGTAAAACTTATTACATTTTCAAAGACTTTAGTTTACACACACACACACACAACTTTAACTAAATAGAGATTAAACATCTTTGAGTTTTTTATACCCACATTTGGGTGAAGTGACATGTTACAATAGTTTTGGATGAGGTGAAAATAAACTTTTTACACAAGACAGAACACGAAACAATGGGCATTAAAAGTAGGTAACTGCAGAAGGCCTATTTTTATTGGCCCATATATATATATATATATATATATATATATATATATATATATATATATATATATATATATATATATATATAATGTCATACCTAGTAGCCAGAACGCACTTCTTGGCCTACTATGCAAGGCCTTATTTGCCTAATAAGCCAAGTTTTCCTGAATTAATATATTTTCTCTAATTTTTTTCTTATGAAATGATAAAGCTACCCATTTCATTATGTATGAGGTCAATTTTTTTTTATTGAAGTTAAAATTAACGTAGATATATGACCGAACCTAACCAACCCTACCTAACCTAACCTAACCTATCTTTATAGGTTAGGTTAGGTTAGGTAGGTTAGGTAGTCGAAAAACAATTCATGAAAACTTGGCTTATTAGGCTAATCGGGCCTTGCATAGTTGGCTGAGAAGTGCATTCTGGCTACTAGGTACGACACATATATATATATATATATATATATATATATATATATATATATATATATATATATATATATATATATATATATATATATATATATATATATAGCCAAAACTGTGTGACGTCAGTGGCACCAGATTGGTCACCGACAGCGATGTGGCACAGGGAGCCAATGAAAACCTCCCTTGGCAAGTATGACGTCACGAAGGCAGGGGGGTCCGGTCATAGCGCCACGGCGGCGCCATCAGTCTGACACGACACGTCAAGGTGGACGGATGTGAGAAGGTTGATCCTGTCAATCTGACATTAATACGCCACTCCCGTGGATCTTACGTGTCACCCGTAGTCTGCCAGTACGCCGGGAGGTCTTCCTTCACTCCATGTGTGGACCGAAGAGGGAATTGATGGAATATTGAGCATCAAGTGCTCCAGGGTCGGGTGCTGTGCAGGTGAAGTCTAGGCAGTATCGTCTAGGACGTCTGATAGCTTCACAGTGATGACGTAGCGGCTGGGCCAATCCACTGGGAAGCAGTGAAAGAAGACACTAATTGGGAATCCGAACGACTGCAGCCGAGACGTAGGTAGGCAGCCGTAGATGGGAGGAGAAGTTGACGGCCGGGAGACCGACTCCAACCCTACAAGACGTGGAAGAGGAGCAGGGACCCGCGGAGGACAGAACACGGAGACGACGCATTTGTTTTGGGACGTTGATTGAGTTCCTGGAGGACTCGACAGGGTGTGTGTGGGGGCGTTCCCTACACGAGGCAGGAGCCTGGGCCAGGAGCTACAACTCAACTCTCACCGGAGGATAGGTGGAAGTAGGTGATTCTAGTTTCTCTCCCAATTCCCCTTTAGTCAGCTATATTATTTAGCCAGAGTATTTTGCATGTCGTGAGCAA